CCTAAACCCTAAACCCTACACGTCAGCAGCCTGACATCCAAGACCTTCAAAGTCTGACAGGTCACGGCTGCCCCAGATATGAGCCCTGCGAGCACACGTCTTAAAGAACAGTGTGTTAAATACCCCAAACCTTAAAGTAAAGCTTTAAGGCATTCGTCATGCTGAACCCCACAACCTTGCAGTCAAACTGAGCTTTATGGTCTGCGGTTCAGTGTTCAGGGGTTTAGGTGTTTTTTGCCTTAGGATTTAATGCGCATATTGAGATCGAAGGTTCGCGGTTTAGTGGTTGAAGGGTTGAGGGCTTCGGATTCACCTAGACCCGAGAAGATAGTGCCCTTCCTTGGATCACTTGCTTTTGTGGCTAGGGTCTTACAAAAAGAAACTAAGGGAACAAAGAGATCTACTACCTGTTAGAGTTTACAAGTACTGTACTGTATATGGTTTGGAGGAGCGGCTTGGTACGACGGCTCTGCTGGCAATGGACGATGCGCGGCTGAAGGTTCGGAATTCCCAAAGCTGGGATAGGGCTAGGTGCTTCGCAAGGGTCCGAAGGACGCCGAAGGACCGAATCATTAAGAGTTCTAGCACTTTCACGGAGTGTTAGTCCGGCCTTGTTGTAATGTTGTGCAGCGTTGTTTCTGTTGCTTTATTTCGTTTGGGATAGTAACGATGTAGGCTATTGTTTGGGTTCAGTGCTCAGCAAGTACCTGCTAGGTTGTATGTCATGCTTAGGATAACCCCATTCGGGGCACTCGTTTCTCTACTACCAGTCTGAAGCTCCCAACAGAACTTCCGAACTCTCTCGGGCTGTCTACGTGCCTGATGCATCACATACTCCTCCTCATATTGGCACCCATTACCACTATACCAGCCCACGTAGCTATGTTTCGTGTCCCCTGCGCCGAAACTCTTTTACTTAAAACTAGCATATGAGATAAGCACTTCCTTACTTAAAGCGGTTTCACAAGGGTGAAAATCACGAATGGATGCAGGGTGCGATATCAGAAAGGGGCAAGCCGACCTAAATCCTAAACCCTAAACCCTAAACCCTAAACCGAACATCCTGGAGGAGGCCGGTGTCAGTGCCATGGGAGACCGAATGAAGATCCTAAAGATCCGTGAGAGCCTGCTGGCTGAGCCCTGAAGTGGACCTGTAGTTCCGTTAGGGTTCAGGGTTTAGGATTTAGGAGTTCAGGTTTTGTTGGGTTCAGGATTTAGGAGTTTAGGGTTTAGGATTTAGGGTTTAGGGTTTGGGGTTTAGGGTTTAGGGCTTGGGGTTTACGGGGCTATCAGAATCATACTATAAATATAAGCTCGAATCTATTGTTGTGTCGGGCTGGGGTCGACAGAGACCGCTCGATTGGGTAGGTTGCCTAACTCTTTGGGCTTTAACTTTACGGTGGTAGGGCTGCTTGATGACGGTGCTACGTGAAATACTACCCTTCCGCAGCAGGGTTGGTTAACAGTCAACAGTCCTAAACCCTTACTAAACCGATCATGAGTAGGAATCCCCCTTATCATGTTCTGTGCAAGCATTGGGATACTGACAGATCAGCGGACTTGGTGACGAGGTGTGGAGTAGGGTTGTATTCCATAGGGCGGCACGAAGAACTCTACCTATCGCCTGCTTGCTAAGTCCTCAAAGCCTGCGAGAAATCAAGGGTCCATGTCAGGGGGAAGTGTCTTTCTTTGCTGGCATTTCTTCCACCACCCACAGCTCACAGTCTGAACGGCAAGCTAGGTTTGTGTACAAGAACCCAACAGAACTGGGGGTGGTGGGGGGCCAGTGGTACCTGCCGACGCGAGATAATCAGGGGCCGAAGGGTTCTGACCTGTCGGTCAAGCGTACAAGCTTGGGGCTGGATGAGAAGACCCCTGATTCATAAACCCGTCTCTCTTAGTAAGGATGACCATAGGCATCCTGATATGAAGGCCTTTCAAGACAGGGGATCCGCTAAACTCGAGGCTACATCGTAGTAGATGCCTCTTAAGCGCTGCGAGCTCCGATCGGTTTGGATGCCCCCTAAGCCCAAACCAAAGCCCGCAACTTCCTCCCTGTCGCACCTTTGAAGCCCCATAAATCCTAAAGGTTTAGGGTTTAGGGCTTTAGGGTTTACGGAAATGCCAGGAGCCCTAAACCCTAAACCAAAACCCGCCAAATCCTGCTGCACTTCTACGTCCGCGCTCACGGGACTGCGAATGTCGCTGGAGTCTACTACTGCAGCCTTGTAGGCTTGAAGGGGTTGAGGGTTTAGAGTTTGTCTATGGATTTCACCGTGTTTGTTGTCTTTGTAAATCATAGCGGGTAGCTATCTCTAACGTAGGGTACAGTGCTGATTCCAGAGGGTTTGGAAGTCATGAGCAGGCTGATTATGATTGTTATGGTTATTCTCATGATTATTCCGCCGTGAGTCTAAACTGATTTCAATGCAAGCCTACTTACTTCGTGCCGTGGGCCACGAAGTAAGTAGAGTTACTGGCACTGGCTGGTTGTGGAGGCCTCAGTATCGCCGAATCCGAATTGTCCTCAGACTCGAAGAAGGGTGGAGTTTACAAGGAATTGCGGAAGTTATTGCCATGCATGAGTATACCCTACCATTAAGCTTTTTGCCCTATAGTGCAATCTCTAAACCTAGAAGTCCCAAAGCCTGTTTCGCTGACCGAAGTTCTGAGCCCTGGGCTTTAGCAACCCCCGAAATCCTAAGCCAGAAGCCCTGAAACTACAGCATACCATAGCAGGACGTTCAGAGGCCCCCCAACCCGACGCCAGTGAACCACTGACTGCGGCCACAGATCTACCAAAAAGCCAATGCTCATCATGACCCTAAACCCTAAACCCTAAAGCCTTAAGCCTGTTGCTGGACTGGAGCTTCGTGATTCAGCATGTAGGAGTTTGGGATTTGGAGTCCGGGTCCTTGACGCACCTGGAATAACTCATTGAGGGTTTAGTGTTCAGGGTTTCTTGGCTCGGGGTGTTTGCAGGGTCAAGGGGGCATGAGGGATAACATTCAAGACTGCCGGCCTCAAACCCTAGGGCACTAAACCTTAAACCGGTCCTGTCCTGAAACACCTTTGGAGTAACCTGCGCTTAGTGCATCTTATTGCTATATATATATATATATATCTCTC